CCTTCCCCCCAGCCCGGGGTTGAACTCTCGACCTACGGAATCTGTCTCCTAGCAGTGCAGGAACAGCGCGTTAGACCGCTCGGCTATCTAGGCAAGTTAATAAAACTTGCTTTCGATGCCGATGGAATTGTCACAACGCTGTCCTACACTACACAGTCATTGAGAATGGAAGTGAGATACAGTTATTTGGACATTAGTTTTTAGAGGATTGTTACCAATACATGTTGTGATGATATTAATTTTATTTATAAAGCACAAATTACAACAACTCTTAAACTAATATAACTGCCCTAAGTGAAGAAATATTAATATAGAAAGCACAGAGATATTCACTTTTACAAGGATACTCACTTCCGCCCCAGCCCGGGGTTGAACTCTCGACCTACGGAATCTGTCTCCTAGCAGTGCAGGAACAGCGCGTTAGACCGCTCGGCTATCTAGGCAAGTTAATAAAACTTGCTTTCGATGCCGATGGAATTCTCACAACGCTGCCCTACACTACACAGTCATTGAGAATGGAAGTGAGATACAGTTATTTGGACATTAGTTTTTAGAGGATCGTTACCAATACATGTTGTGATGATATTAATTTTATTTATAAAGCACAAATTACAACAACTCTTAAACTAATATAACTGCCCTAAGTGAAGAAATATTAATATCAAAGCACAGAGATATTCACTTTTACAAGGATACTCACTTCCGCCCCAGCCCGGGGTTGAACTCTCGACCTACGGAATCTGTCTCCTAGCAGTGCAGGAACAGCGCGTTAGACCGCTCGGCTATCTAGGCAAGTTAATAAAACTTGCTTTCGATGCCGATGGAATTCTCACAACGCTGCCCTACACTACACAGTCATTGAGAATGGAAGTGAGATACAGTTATTTGGACATTAGTTTTTAGAGGATCGTTACCAATACATGTTGTGATGATATTAATTTTATTTATAAAGCACAAATTACAACAACTCTTAAACTAATATAACTACCCTAAGTGAAGAAAAATATAGAAAGCACAGAGATATTCACTTTTACAAGGATACTCACTTCCGCCCCAGCCCGGGGTTGAACTCTCGACCTACGGAATCTGTCTCCTAGCAGTGCAGGAACAGCACGTTAGACCGCTCGGCTATCTAGGCAAGTTAATGGAAAAACCCCTACATAAACAAATACATGGGCGCAGACATTTTGGACACCCAAAGTTGTGCGGAGGAGAAAATACTACCTGGCGCGTGATTGGTCAATAAGAGAAAAGACTTGTTATGTATTTGACAAGTGAAATAAAGTTGATAAAAATCTAATATCAAGACTTGGGTTTCTTTGAGATATGTAGGAGTTACAGGTAAAAATTTGAAAGGAGGGGTGCCCTTTGGTTAGAGATTTTCATTTGGTGTCAAACGCACCTTGTTGTAAACAAATGGAAATTGAAAGTAAAAGTGCCGCGTGACGGTATATTTTTTCTGGCATGTTTTGTTTTCCAATATCTTGAACTTTCACGACAAAAAGGCCATTTGACGGAAATTCAATATATGTATGAGTGACAGGGGCTCAAGTTTGTATGGAAGTCTATGGGAAAACATTTAGTGGTGTTTGTCCTATAGAATAGGTATGTATTTCTTGGAAAAACATTGATTACAGCCAAAAAATCAATCAGTTCCTATTTTTTGGCATTGAGATCATATTTTAGTTAGTTTTTTCTATTTCTTAAAAAATTTGAGGGTTTTGGGTAAATTGAGGCTCACAATGGGGACTGCACATGGTGAAAAATGCTAAAATTTTTGCCCTAGCTCTCATATTTTCAATAAATGTACATGTAAATAATTTTAAATAAATGTTTATGCTGAAATTTACTGTGAATATTGTAAATAATACAATATTGATGTTTATGGGCATCATCAATACACAAAACATATGAATATCCCCCTCGCAGTTTGAGAAATTCATTTAAATCCATGTATTTTATGAGTGCAGACATTGGAACAAATTGACTAATCCTCTTTCAAATATGTGTAAATTACAGTTGATTGAATAATTTATAACAAAATTAGACTGCTGTTAAGTAATTAGGTTACTTTGTTTTTACTTAAGGGGCCTAATCCAGCAACAAAGCCAATTTCAGTCATGTAATCAGTGCTGGCTTGATAAAAAAAATTATAGTTTGGGGAAAACTTAGAGATTACAAGTATGAAATTTAATTTAAATTACTGTTAAATATATTTTAGCAGAAAATACATTGAAAATCTAAGAAATTTGCAAAAATTATTATTGCAAAAATGATGAAAAAAGTGTCTAAATATCCTTCCTCCTTGCCATACCCGATATCCAATCTTGATATTCTGCAGAAAAAGGGGGGGGGGTAATTTTGTACTCTAATGATGCTGGAAAATGAAGGAATTTTTTTTAAAATGTGGTTTATTTGAACAACAAGAGTCATGTCTATCTGCAGTTATTTTTTTTCAATTTCTTAGATATTTTTTAAAAAAATTATTAGAGTAAATTCTATTTAAACATGATTATTTTAAAGCTATTTCATCACTAATGCTTATAAAAAATTCAAAAGATGGTGTAAATAATAAAAAAATTATAATATAAGCTACTACATGCATTTATCAGTATGTTTTAATAAAATAAAATGTATTTCAGCTATGCATTCTCAAGAAGGAGGAGATTAATGAACCCTCCCCTCTTACATTGAACAAAACATGGACACTCTCAAGATGGTCCCTTTGCTTTCATTAAGAGTTCCAAGGTATGATTTATCTAGAAAATCTGGTAAATCTCTTAATATTTAAGTTATTTAGAACTTTTTATAGATTATTAGAAAATAAATTTCTTCAGAACTGCAGTTATTTAAGCACTTTGCTAACAATTAAGCACTGTATTCAATCAGACAATATGATTTATCTGCCCTTGGCATTTAATCAATTTATTAATTATGTCAATAATTAGAAATGTTATGCAAATGAATATCTTTGCCTTTCATGAGAATATACATATTTAACATCCATAACATGAAATGTTCATGAAAATTGGCTAAAATGTAGGTCATCCCCCTTCAAAATTACAAAATTCTCAGTGGGGATGTATTCGATTCTCTGTTGCCAGCAACCCATTGCTGATAAAATTCTTTTTAATATTATGTCCATTTAAACTACATATAATTCTCTTTCTTTCCATTGATTATTTTATCTACATTAGTTTTCACTCTTTCCATAACTCAGCATTTTCTTACAAAAACCTGCTGATTTTCTTCATTTTTCATTTATAACGGGTACCTGCTACCCTGAATGATTAACATGATCTATCTTGAGAGATTATGAGAGATAATAAGATCAACAAGCAAAACATATGCTAGGTTAATCATTTTATTTGAAAAGTTTGAAAGAAAAATAGAAAATTGCTTCAATTTATAGGCATCTTTTCTGTTTTACAGATGTGTGTCTGATTGACTGGGGTGTGAAATGTAACAGCCAATGGTGTACTTAAGCTAGGACTGTCAGTCCCAATATTCAAGAGGTGAGATAAGCAATGGATATGTGTTCTAAATATACTAAATTGACCACTTTTTATAAATGTTTCTTTTACTCTATAGGAAAAACCCCTACATAAACAAATACATGGGCGCAGACATTTTGGACACCCAAAGTTGTGCGGAGGAGAAAATACTACCTGGCGCGTGATTGGTCAATAAGAGAAAAGACTTGTTATGTATTTGACAAGTGAAATAAAGTTGATAAAAATCTAATATCAAGACTTGGGTTTCTTTGAGATATGTAGGAGTTACAGGTAAAAATTTGAAAGGAGGGGTGCCCTTTGGTTAGAGATTTTCATTTGGTGTCAAACGCACCTTGTTGTAAACAAATGGAAATTGAAAGTAAAAGTGCCGCGTGACGGTATATTTTTTCTGGCATGTTTTGTTTTCCAATATCTTGAACTTTCACGACAAAAAGGCCATTTGACGGAAATTCAATATATGTATGAGTGACAGGGGCTCAAGTTTGTATGGAAGTCTATGGGAAAACATTTAGTGGTGTTTGTCCTATAATAAAACTTGCTTTCGATGCCGATGGAATTCTCACAACGCTGCCCTACACTACACAGTCATTGAGAATGGAAGTGAGATACAGTTATTTGGACATTAGTTTTTAGAGGATCGTTACCAATACATGTTGTGATGATATTAATTTTATTTATAAAGCACAAATTACAACAACTCTTAAACTAATATAACTGCCCTAAGTGAAGAAATATTAATATAGAAAGCACAGAGATATTCACTTTTACAAGGATACTCACTTCCGCCCCAGCCCGGGGTTGAACTCTCGACCTACGGAATCTGTCTCCTAGCAGTGCAGGAACAGCGCGTTAGACCGCTCGGCTATCTAGGCAAGTTAATAAAACTTGCTTTCGATGCCGATGGAATTCTCACAACGCTGCCCTACACTACACAGTCATTGAGAATGGAAGTGAGATACAGTTATTTGGACATTAGTTTTTAGAGGATCGTTACCAATACATGTTGTGATGATATTAATTTTATTTATAAAGCACAAATTACAACAACTCTTAAACTAATATAACTGCCCTAAGTGAAGAAATATTAATATAGAAAGCACAGAGATATTCACTTTTACAAGGATACTCACTTCCGCCCCAGCCCGGGGTTGAACTCTCGACCTACGGAATCTGTCTCCTAGCAGTGCAGGAACAGCGCGTTAGACCGCTCGGCTATCTAGGCAAGTTAATAAAACTTGCTTTCGATGCCGATGGAATTCTCACAACGCTGCCCTACACTACACAGTCATTGAGAATGGAAGTGAGATACAGTTATTTGGACATTAGTTTTTAGAGGATCGTTACCAATACATGTTGTGATGATATTAATTTTATTTATAAAGCACAAATTACAACAACTCTTAAACTAATATAACTGCCCTAAGTGAAGAAATATTAATATAGAAAGCACAGAGATATTCACTTTTACAAGGATACTCACTTCCGCCCCAGCCCGGGGTTGAACTCTCGACCTACGGAATCTGTCTCCTAGCAGTGCAGGAACAGCGCGTTAGACCGCTCGGCTATCTAGGCAAGTTAATAAAACTTGCTTTCGATGCCGATGGAATTCTCACAACGCTGCCCTACACTACACAGTCATTGAGAATGGAAGTGAGATACAGTTATTTGGACATTAGTTTTTAGAGGATTGTTACCAATACATGTTGTGATGATATTAATTTTATTTATAAAGCACAAATTACAACAACTCTTAAACTAATATAACTACCCTAAGTGAAGAAATATATAGAAAGCACAGAGATATTCACTTTTACAAGGATACTCACTTCCGCCCCAGCCCGGGGTTGAACTCTCGACCTACGGAATCTGTCTCCTAGCAGTACAGGAACAGCACGTTAGACCGCTCTGCTATCTAGGCAAGTTAATGGAAAAACCCCTACATAAACAAATACATGGGCGCAGACATTTTGGACACCCAAAGTTGTGCGGAGGAGAAAATACTACCTGGCGCGTGATTGGTCAATAAGAGAAAAGACTTGTTATGTATTTGACAAGTGAAATAAAGTTGATAAAAATCTAATATCAAGACTTGGGTTTCTTTGAGATATGTAGGAGTTACAGGTAAAAATTTGAAAGGAGGGGTGCCCTTTGGTTAGAGATTTTCATTTGGTGTCAAACGCACCTTGTTGTAAACAAATGGAAATTGAAAGTAAAAGTGCCGCGTGACGGTATATTTTTTCTGGCATGTTTTGTTTTCCAATATCTTGAACTTTCACGACAAAAAGGCCATTTGACGGAAATTCAATATATGTATGAGTGACAGGGGCTCAAGTTTGTATGGAAGTCTATGGGAAAACATTTAGTGGTGTTTGTCCTATAATAAAACTTGCTTTCGATGCCGATGGAATTCTCACAACGCTGCCCTACACTACACAGTCATTGAGAATGGAAGTGAGATACAGTTATTTGGACATTAGTTTTTAGAGGATCGTTACCAATACATGTTGTGATGATATTAATTTTATTTATAAAGCACAAATTACAACAACTCTTAAACTAATATAACTGCCCTAAGTGAAGAAATATTAATATAGAAAGCACAGAGATATTCACTTTTACAAGGATACTCACTTCCGCCCCAGCCCGGGGTTGAACTCTCGACCTACGGAATCTGTCTCCTAGCAGTGCAGGAACAGCGCGTTAGACCGCTCGGCTATCTAGGCAAGTTAATAAAACTTGCTTTCGATGCCGATGGAATTCTCACAACGCTGCCCTACACTACACAGTCATTGAGAATGGAAGTGAGATACAGTTATTTGGACATTAGTTTTTAGAGGATCGCTACCAATACATGTTGTGATGATATTAATTTTATTTATAAAGCACAAATTACAACAACTCTTAAACTAATATAACTGCCCTAAGTGAAGAAATATTAATATAGAAAGCACAGAGATATTCACTTTTACAAGGATACTCACTTCCGCCCCAGCCCGGGGTTGAACTCTCGACCTACGGAATCTGTCTCCTAGCAGTGCAGGAACAGCGCGTTAGACCGCTCGGCTATCTAGGCAAGTTAATAAAACTTGCTTTCGATGCCGATGGAATTCTCACAACGCTGCCCTACACTACACAGTCATTGAGAATGGAAGTGAGATACAGTTATTTGGACATTAGTTTTTAGAGGATCGTTACCAATACATGTTGTGATGATATTAATTTTATTTATAAAGCACAAATTACAACAACTCTTAAACTAATATAACTGCCCTAAGTGAAGAAATATTAATATAGAAAGCACAGAGATATTCACTTTTACAAGGATACTCACTTCCGCCCCAGCCCGGGGTTGAACTCTCGACCTACGGAATCTGTCTCCTAGCAGTGCAGGAACAGCGCGTTAGACCGCTCGGCTATCTAGGCAAGTTAATAAAACTTGCTTTCGATGCCGATGGAATTCTCACAACGCTGCCCTACACTACACAGTCATTGAGAATGGAAGTGAGATACAGTTATTTGGACATTAGTTTTTAGAGGATCGTTACCAATACATGTTGTGATGATATTAATTTTATTCATAAAGCACAAATTACAACAACTCTTAAACTAATATAACTACCCTAAGTGAAGAAAAATATAGAAAGCACAGAGATATTCACTTTTACAAGGATACTCACTTCCGCCCCAGCCCGGGGTTGAACTCTCGACCTACGGAATCTGTCTCCTAGCAGTGCAGGAACAGCACGTTAGACCGCTCGGCTATCTAGGCAAGTTAATGGAAAAACCCCTACATAAACAAATACATGGGCGCAGACATTTTGGACACCCAAAGTTGTGCGGAGGAGAAAATACTACCTGGCGCGTGATTGGTCAATAAGAGAAAAGACTTGTTATGTATTTGACAAGTGAAATAAAGTTGATAAAAATCTAATATCAAGACTTGGGTTTCTTTGAGATATGTAGGAGTTACAGGTAAAAATTTGAAAGGAGGGGTGCCCTTTGGTTAGAGATTTTCATTTGGTGTCAAACGCACCTTGTTGTAAACAAATGGAAATTGAAAGTAAAAGTGCCGCGTGACGGTATATTTTTTCTGGCATGTTTTGTTTTCCAATATCTTGAACTTTCACGACAAAAAGGCCATTTGACGGAAATTCAATATATGTATGAGTGACAGGGGCTCAAGTTTGTATGGAAGTCTATGGGAAAACATTTAGTGGTGTTTGTCCTATAGAATAGGTATGTATTTCTTGGAAAAACATTGATTACAGCCAAAAAATCAATCAGTTCCTATTTTTTGGCATTGAGATCATATTTTAGTTAGTTTTTTCTATTTCTTAAAAAATTTGAGGGTTTTGGGTAAATTGAGGCTCACAATGGGGACTGCACATGGTGAAAAATGCTAAAATTTTTGCCCTAGCTCTCATATTTTCAATAAATGTACATGTAAATAATTTTAAATAAATGTTTATGCTGAAATTTACTGTTAATATTGTAAATAATACAATATTGATGTTTATGGGCATCATCAATACACAAAACATATGAATATCCCCCTCGCAGTTTGAGAAATTCATTTAAATCCATGTATTTTATGAGTGCAGACATTGGAACAGATTGACTAATCCTCTTTCAAATATGTGTAAATTACAGTTGATTGAATAATTTATAACAAAATTAGACTGCTGTTAAGTAATTAGGTTACTTTGTTTTTACTTAAGGGGCCTAATCCAGCAACAAAGCCAATTTCAGTCATGTAATCAGTGCTGGCTTGATAAAAAAAATTATAGTTTGGGGAAAACTTAGAGATTACAAGTATGAAATTTAATTTAAATTACTGTTAAATATATTTTAGCAGAAAATACATTGAAAATCTAAGAAATTTGCAAAAATTATTATTGCAAAAATGATGAAAAAAGTGTCTAAATATCCTTCCTCCTTGCCATACCCGATATCCAATCTTGATATTCTGCAGAAAAAGGGGGGGGGGTAATTTTGTACTCTAATGATGCTGGAAAATGAAGGAATTTTTTTTAAAATGTGGTTTATTTGAACAACAAGAGTCATGTCTATCTGCAGTTATTTTTTTTCAATTTCTTAGATATTTTTTAAAAAAATTATTAGAGTAAATTCTATTTAAACATGATTATTTTAAAGCTATTTCATCACTAATGCTTATAAAAAATTCAAAAGATGGTGTAAATAATAAAAAAATTATAATATAAGCTACTACATGCATTTATCAGTATGTTTTAATAAAATAAAATGTATTTCAGCTATGCATTCTCAAGAAGGAGGAGATTAATGAACCCTCCCCTCTTACATTGAACAAAACATGGACACTCTCAAGATGGTCCCTTTGCTTTCATTAAGAGTTCCAAGGTATGATTTATCTAGAAAATCTGGTAAATCTCTTAATATTTAAGTTATTTAGAACTTTTTATAGATTATTAGAAAATAAATTTCTTCAGAACTGCAGTTATTTAAGCACTTTGCTAACAATTGAGCACTGTATTCAATCAGACAATATGATTTATCTGCCCTTGGCATTTAATCAATTTATTAATTATGTCAATAATTAGAAATGTTATGCAAATGAATATCTTTGCCTTTCATGAGAATATACATATTTAACATCCATAACATGAAATGTTCATGAAAATTGGCTAAAATGTAGGTCATCCCCCTTCAAAATTACAAAATTCTCAGTGGGGATGTATTCGATTCTCTGTTGCCAGCAACCCATTGCTGATAAAATTCTTTTTAATATTATGTCCATTTAAACTACATATAATTCTCTTTCTTTCCATTGATTATTTTATCTACATTAGTTTTCACTCTTTCCATAACTCAGCATTTTCTTACAAAAACCTGCTGATTTTCTTCATTTTTCATTTATAACGGGTACCTGCTACCCTGAATGATTAACATGATCTATCTTGAGAGATTATGAGAGATAATAAGATCAACAAGCAAAACATATGCTAGGTTAATCATTTTATTTGAAAAGTTTGAAAGAAAAAAGAAAATTGCTTCAATTTATAGGCATCTTTTCTGTTTTACAGATGTGTGTCTGATTGACTGGGGTGTGAAATGTAACAGCCAATGGTGTACTTAAGCTAGGACTGTCAGTCCCAATATTCAAGAGGTGAGATAAGCAATGGATATGTGTTCTAAATATACTAAATTGACCACTTTTTATAAATGTTTCTTTTACTCTATAGGAAAAACCCCTACATAAACAAATACATGGGCGCAGACATTTTGGACACCCAAAGTTGTGCGGAGGAGAAAATACTACCTGGCGCGTGATTGGTCAATAAGAGAAAAGACTTGTTATGTATTTGACAAGTGAAATAAAGTTGATAAAAATCTAATATCAAGACTTGGGTTTCTTTGAGATATGTAGGAGTTACAGGTAAAAATTTGAAAGGAGGGGTGCCCTTTGGTTAGAGATTTTCATTTGGTGTCAAACGCACCTTGTTGTAAACAAATGGAAATTGAAAGTAAAAGTGCCGCGTGACGGTATATTTTTTCTGGCATGTTTTGTTTTCCAATATCTTGAACTTTCACGACAAAAAGGCCATTTGACGGAAATTCAATATATGTATGAGTGACAGGGGCTCAAGTTTGTATGGAAGTCTATGGGAAAACATTTGAAAACAAATAATGCCAGCTTGTTTTAAAGATCTCTGCCGATATATATATATATATAAAATGCCTTCTACCATCAGTTTTTAGAAGATTTTATGAAAAAAATTAAAATTACAAATTTAACATAGAAGCCTTAAAGTTAATTCTTTGTAAGAGAAAAAATATTAAGAGATTATTATTTCCTATTGAGAGTTGCTAAAAAATACAAAAAATGTTGTCCAATGTAAAATCGACATTGTGGGCTTTTTTCTATGTTAAGTTTCTATTTATATTCAAAACAATTTAAGACTTTGTTTTATACTCTATTTCCCTTTAGATCAACGGAGAGACAAATATTTCATTTCTGCATCCATTTGCATTTTTTTAGTGTTTCTCAAATAAAATAAATTGTTTTATCAATAAAACAATTTGGTAACAATTCAAAAAAGGTTTTTATTCTACACTTTCATTATAAATAAAATTAGATAACTATTACCCATGTTTTATGTTGTGTGATATAAACATAATTGCAACTGTAAAATAGTACTTTTAAAAGTATAACGAACCTGTTCACAAAAAATGTCCACAATAGTAATATTGATTAAATCATTTTACCCCCCCCCCCTTTCTATTTTTCATAAAAGTAAAAACGGCATATCTCAATCTGGAAAATACCCCCCCCCCCCCCAAAAAAAAAAAAAAATATATATATATATATATATATATATATATATATATATATATATATATATATATATATATATATATATATATATATATATATATATATATATATATATATATATATATATATATATATAAAGCACAAATTACAACAACTCTTAAATTAATATAACTGCCCTAAGTGAAGGAATATTAATATAGAAAGCACAGAGAAATTCACTTTTACAAGGATGCTCACTTCCGCCCCAGCCTGGGATTAAACTCTCGACCTACGGAATCTGTCTCCTAGCAGTACAGGAACAGCGCGTTAGACCGCTCGGCTATCTAGGCAAGTTAAAAAACTTGCTTTCGATGCCGATGGAATTCTCACAACGCTGTCCTACACTACACGGTCATTGAGAATGGAAGTGAGATACAGTATATATATATATATATATATATATATATATATATATATATATATATATATATATATATATATATATATATATATATATATATATATATATATGACATCTACTTTCACATTAAACACGAAACCTGATAAGAAGACATGGACATAAATCAGATAATAATTTAAATATTATCAGTTCAATTATAGTTAAACCTTGATGTAATGAAGAGTATTTAATGGAAACTCACACCAATTCCATCCTTTTAACTTAAAACCAGTTGTAAACAATACACTGATATACGTACATGTATAGATTAACATAAAAAATAAAAGCATTTTACAGTGTTCATTGGGAAATTTTAGTCATTCTTAATAGCGTCGCTTCTTGAATCTTCTGATAAGGTGGCTGTTTTAGCGAATGTCGGTAGGATACTTGGGCTCCTAAGCAGTCGCCGCATATTTCTTGACAAATCCCCAGTATTTGCCAAGAAATTTCTCTGAATTCAAGAGACACATGAATCCCATCATCTGAGAAGAGCAGGGTCTGTAGATCACGTATAGATTGTTGTGACCTCACTGTGTCGCCAAGTTTGTGGTAACTCAGAATAAACAACATGTGTAATATCACGAGAGGTGGGATGTACAAAACTTGCACTCCATTCTCGTAACCAATCCTCTGTTCTATGATTAGTTCATCAATGTATGTGTAAAGACTGATTAACTGAATATCAATCACTAAAACAATCCTGATTTTATGACTAAGAGACATCCCTTCTGTGCAAAGTCTATACATATCTACATTTACATGATCACAATACATTATGTATGGTAGCGTCATTTTGTCCTGTACTTTTTGTAAACAACTGAGTGAATGCTCATATCTTCGTGTTCTGTAAAAATGCATTGCAAGATAGAGAATCTGTGACACGCAACCAAATGTACATGACAGTTTTAGCCACGAGGATACTTTATTGGTTCTGTAATAAAGCTTATTGCAATTTTTATTTTGATAGATACCATGCTGTATCAACATGGCAGTGTTTCGTAATATCTCTGACGTGATGTATTGTATTGTTGCTTTTTGGAAAGGCGTTAACCTTCCACTAATCTCTAGCTCAATTTTCCTCATAAAAGCCACAAACTGTTCGACACGAAGAATTGGTAATTGAATTTTAGTGATTTCAAAGAATGAACTATTTTCAAGTTCTGTGTTAGTTATGATACTCCTCTCGTTAGTGCAGATTTTCAATGCCCTATAAAGAATAACTTCCCTAAGGGAAACTCTTAAAGTTTCACTCATAGTAGACTTGATATTCCCTTGTTTTACAATGCATACAACTTATCGAATAATCTTGTTTGTATAGACCCAGTCATTTTAAATCGGAACATATTGTTTTGCGGTATAAAAAAGTTTGGACATTCTCCTATAAATACCCAGTATATCAATAATTTAAAGCATTCCCAAAAACAAGGAAGTAAGTTTTCAGGTGTCCAATGCAAGTACTTATTATTCTGAATTACCCAAAATACAGCAGTTTTTATGAAGTACGAACATAGAATGGGCAAATCATCTTGGAAATTAATAACTTCCTTTAGATATATTTTAAAGAGACCATAACACAAAAACTGACAGTGATTCATTGAATAAATAATTTTTTGCTCTGCTTGAGAGAAAGAGGTTCTCCATTCTAGTTCATTTTCAGGTGTACTGCCAATAGGAACAACATGAAATCCTGCGCTAAGTATATCTGATATAACATCCTCAGATGGCCAACCTTGTTGTCGACATCTTTGTATCCATGGTAAAGCTAGTATCGGCCAGTGATGGGATCGGAAACAAAACGCCCAATCTACTTCTAACCTATCGCGAATGGTCCATGTAGAGCAAGGTCCATGAGGCTTAGGAAATGAAGGTAAATTAAATGTTCGTATGAACAGTAAGTGGTTATCACGAAATAATATACTGGATATATACAAGCTGTCATTGATTTCTACACAAGATGCACTGACTTTCAAATCTTTTGATTGATTCATCAGATTCAACTTTGTAAAACCTGGAGGTAAATCATCACACTCCATCAGAATCACTGTGTATTGATAAAAACAGTAAAGACTGACTTGAGAGAGAGATCACAGATTACGTAGTGGTCTGGAGGCCAAATCATACAATCCGTATCGGAATTTTTCAGTCTGTATCCCTCACGCCTACTACCACATTCCATTCTGTCAAATCCCTTCATGATGTACACAGGATTACTAACTGCCTCCACAGTGTCCTCTACTCTCTCTCCTCATCCTCACTTCTGTAGGACCCCCTATTTTTTTACTCAGTCCCGAATACACAGCCTCCGATAGCCGAGGGATGTGATCCATTTTTAGGTATATTCTGAAATTAATAGAAAGATTTCTTAGAAAAAAAAAACATTCTTTTCTGTGTATTGTGATGTTCCCCATAAACATTTCGTATTAAAAAATTAATCTATTGAAAGACTCTGTGAATATATAAGAATCTTGAAGTGCTTATCAAGATTTCGATTAATAAAAGATCAACATTCATCAATTTTCAATCAGAGAAATACAATGTACCTCTTGATTTCCTTACAAAATATGAATAAAAGATAATTTCTTCCTGGAATTTATTGACATCAAACTTAAGGTTGAACTATTTCAAGAAAAATTTAAAGAAGACTAGCATCCTTATGTTTATGTTCCATTTATAAATAGAAATATAGTTCAAATATCATCCTTTAAACAGGTTGAATTAGGATCCATATTTCTCCTTTTATATTTCAAATCGTGACTATACACAAAAATGCATTAAAAAAAAAATTTTTTTTTGGCTCTGTAAAAAGATAATTTTTTCCCAAGCGTTATACGCTAATCAGTACGAAAGCATTATAAAAACAAAATGCAAGGGTATACTGTGGAATAGAAATACCCATAAAGTTAAAACGATTCATTATATCTAAATATTTATTGATATAACTGCAAATTCGACATACCTTTACTCCTCAATATACACAAGGAAGTATCTGTTCTCTTGGAAAATACAATCTTCAATTTATATTGCTTCCAGCTTTTTATAAAAATTTCCACAGAGTTTTTTTTCCTTTTATTGTGGTAACTTAAGTAAAATTCAATTGCAACATCGGGTTTTCTTAATATAAAGTGAAATGTATTTTGTTTCATTATTTCGAAACATTTGTTGCAAAGAAAATAAGACTTAGACCCTTACCTGTAGATATTTCTCAAAGTAGTAATTCGTTAGAAAAGACAAATAATAATAACTGCAGTTAATTTTTGTTGATGTATGACTTCACTCCTATCATCAGAAAAGGGGCCAATAATATAGAAAGTAATGAAATAAATTACAAATACTCGACCAAAACCTTCATTTGAACTACCATTACCCTAACTAGGATTTTGAAATGTAATTAATTAAAATGTGATTCTTTATGCATATTCATACTGATTTAATAAGTTACGTTTTTTTCAACATTAACATTGTATAGATGTTTAACGAAAGTTTTGAATATTGTGACCCCTAACTTACTTAACTAGGTTTAAAGGTTTTTCTACTACAATGAAGGTATTTACTCTGGGGCGTTTGTGACAGGAAAACATAAATACTGACTAGTAGCAATTAATGAGAAACATAAACAGAAGAAAATGCAGCTAAAACAATCCGTCTTTTCCTTAAACTTCAATATGCCAATAAAGGAATTGACGCGGTTAATGTAAGTAATATTCATTATTCACAAAAGGGTCCAGTCTTGTATTCCACCATATTTTAAGTTAAAGACTACACCTTGTATTTCCTACAAATATATACATCGACCATTGCTTCAAAGCTTTCAAATTACAAAAAAAAACTTCAATGGCCTAGATACCGAGT